GAGTTATAGATGTCGCCGTGATGTCATAACCACAGTCACATGTCAAACTAACACGTGTCGACTTCCTGTTTCACCACAGAAATGTGGCGTGTGTGTTTTTCCTGGTGTAGCTATACTTGTGGGGACATTTACAGAACTCCACTGAAGGAGAGACCATTTCCCAGGTTGGACATTTAGTTTCAGTGAAGATTAGAGTTGGAGTCAACGCAGCATTAATGTACAAGCAGTCTGTGTGTGTGTGTGTGTGTGTGTGTGTGTTTTAGGTTCTTGTAGTGTGATGTGAATGAGAGCTTCCTTTCACACAAAGACCAAACACTGTCACATTGTTACAGGTCACATGACCCAGACGACTGTGTCTCCTCTGATATTTGACTGTTGTTGGTATTTTCTTCTTCTTCTTCTCCTTCTTCCTCCTCTTCTTCTTCTTCTTCTTCTGTGAACAGATGGTTGTTAAATTGAAGAGCTGGAACGATGTTCTCCGCGGAGACCAATCAGAGAGAGAGGTCACACAGGGGTCACACACAGGCGGGTGAGGAATACCCGGACACGTCCTCTTTTTAACCAAACATCACCTCGTCAGACCCTGTGTGTGTGTGTGTGTGTGTTTTAGGTTCTTGTAGTGTGATGTGAATGAGAGCTTCCTTTCACACAAAGACCAAACACTGTCACATTGTTACAGGTCACATGACCCAGACGACTGTGTCTCCTCTGATATTTGACTGTTGTTGGTATTTTCTTCTTCTTCTTCTCCTTCTTCTCCTTCTTCTTCTCCTTCTTCCTCCTCTTCTTCTTCTTCCTCTTCTTCTTCTTCTTCTTCTGTGAACAGATGGTTGTTAAATTGAAGAGCTGGAACGATGTTCTCCGCGGAGACCAATCAGAGAGAGAGGTCACACAGGGGTCACACACAGGCGGGTGAGGAATACCCGGACACGTCCTCTTTTTAACCAAACATCACCTCGTCAGACCCTGTGTGTGTGTGTGTGTGTGTTTTAGTTTCTTGTAGTGTGATGTGAATGAGAGCTTCCTTTCACACAAAGACCAAACACTGTCACATTGTTACAGGTCACATGACCCAGACGACTGTGTCTCCTCTGATATTTGACTGTTGTTGGTATTTTCTTCTTCTTCTTCTCCTTCTTCTCCTTCTTTTTCTTCTTCTTCTTTTTCTTCTTTTTTTTTTTCTTCTTCTCCTTCTTCTCCTTCTTTTTCTTCTTCTTCTTCTTCCTCTTCCTCTTCTTCTTCTTCTCCTTCTTCCTCCTCTTCTTCTTCTTCCTCTTCTTCTCCCTCTTCTTCTTCTTCTTCTTCTGTGAACAGATGGTTGTTAAATTGAAGAGCTGGAACGATGTTCTCCACGGAGACCAATCAGAGAGAGAGGTCACACAGGGGTCACACACAGGCGTGTGAGGAATTCCCGGACCCTTCCTCTTATTAACCAAACATCACCTCGTCAGACCCTGTGTGTGTGTGTGTGTGTGTGTGTTCACACTGACACACACACTGGGGAGAACATCTCCAATCACGTTTCTTTCATTAATTAAGGGTCCAACAGCCCCCCCCCCATCCCCCCACCATCACATCATTCCCATCAGGAGGTGATTAGACCTCAGGTCGCTCCGAGCAGATGTGAAAGTGACGAACATGACGGCGGTGAAGGTTGGAGACCTTTGGGAGGGGGGGCAGGAGGGGCTTTAAGATGTTTATGGATGTGGTAATAAAATGCCATTGATATGAGGTGTTTAGACTGTTGGACTGATGTCATGTGATGGTCATGTGATGGTCATGTGATCATTTGGACTGAGATTTTCTAGTTTGACATTATATGAACTCCATTGACCTTTGACCTGACAGTGTCACGTTAACTTCCTGATCCCTGCTGTAGTCCACTAGATGTCATTATAAACTGTCCTCAGTCACGTGGTCTGTGCTGATGGAGGAGTGGGTTTGGTTCACACTCCGTGTTGTCATTCAAACTACGTGACGTCATCAGAACGATTAAAACACAATGAAATAATAAAGTTTAGTCTAAAGTGAATCTTAATAAATGACACAGTGATGACGTCATGCTGCAGCCCAAGTCAACGACAATAATAATCATTATTATGTCTAATAAACATGAAGACGATCGTGGTCACGAGGCTCAGGACGGTGAATGAAGGAACACGGACGGGTTTGACGATGACGTCAGGTGACGTCACGAAAACGCAACACAATATAGCGAAATTTTTGAAAGGTCATTTTTGTGGAACTACCTGTCAATGCAGTAAATATTTTTCTCTTTTCGTTAATTACTTCATTTTTAATTATCTTATTTTCACCGAAGTTCACAAGAATGATTTTGACGTGAACGTTTGTTCAGTGCTGTGAGCAGAAACAGACACGTGGTCTGGAACATTCTCCGCACTGACCTGTAGCCGTCGTGTTGTTGTAGAACGGTCACTTCTCCCAGTAATGCTTTGCGGTTTGATAGAAAGCTGTTCATTTTCTGTTTCTTTGTTTTTTGGTTGAATAAAAAGTAAAAGATTTTTTTCCTCTGGTAGAATTTGAATTTGAACCTGATTCACTTTTACATTTACATCTTATTCCCGTATTTTCTGTTGGTTTTACATTTTTAAATGACGCTATTTCAGCTTTGGGGCTGACGTAATAAATGTGTCAAATCCTTATTTGTAAATTATGATTTTTTTTCCATGTGTTTTTTTTTCAGGATTTTACAGCGGGTCGTATTTTACTAACCTAACCCTTATTTTATATTATATTTTAAATTTTTATTATTAACTGAACACACTTCAGTGACTCGACATCCCAGAAAGAAAAAAAAAACATTATTTGTTGTGTTTGAATTAACGACTATTTTATTAGTTTTTTATTTTGCAGGTTTTCTCAGCAGTGAAAACGTCTTGTTTCTGTGACGTGTTTTCACCTCCTAACAGTCCACGGTCTCATCTGTGGACACGTGGTTCACACGTTTCGTTAAATAATTACAAATGAGGTAAATACAGTGTAACGAGCCTGAGGCTGTAGCCCGGACCCCAGGGTGATGAAGGTGATGAAGGTGATGAAGATGATGAGAGGAATGACCGATGATATTTTCAGGGATGTTTGTAATATCAGCTTCATGTGGTTCTCCATCTAAGGTGGGAATCGAACCCCAGACCTGTTGCTGCGGCACAGGCTGTGTTTATTCTTTGAAGAAGAGAAAATGTGACCATTGTTTGCACTTCACATGATTGATGCTTGACTTAATCCACTGCTCTCTGCTTCTTCCCAGGAGGGTGAGTGGCGCTTTGTGTCTTTTTCTGCCCCATGTGAGGCAGATCGCCGCGGCGGACCGAGGGTCAGAGTCATCCGGCAGGCCACCAGATCCTTCCCACCGGCGCATCTGCATGTGAAATCGCCATTTCACCCCTCCACACTCCCTAATTGTTGCTAAAATTATTTGTGAAATTGCCTTCCACCAGGAGTGTTTTCCACGGCAATTGTCACAATTTTATATGCGCGGCGG